GGGAAAAAAAACTTGGCAGAATTTCCCATCCTTTTGGGATTACTGATTAGCCAACAGCAGTGTGTTTCAGCGTGTCTAACACCAGCAACCTTTGATATATTGATCATGTTAACATATTAGAGTTTTAAGAAACCTGTCTTAGATGGTCCTTCAAGCTCTGTGGGAACATCGCACTACTCTTGCAGTTAAGCTAAGCTTTATACATGAATTGTTTTATTCTGTCTGATCCTAGCCTTTAATCTACTTTTCCAAATATTATACAGTTGTCAAATGTGGGTAGCAGGAACTGCACATTTGCATGGAAGCAAGTAAAGGCCTTCACTATGAAATAAGTAGCTGAAGCAGTGTGCGTGTAAATTCTTATGCTGGGAACATCGCATATGCCTGCAGCTCCACACTAAAGAGAGGAGCTCACATTCTGAGTCTGATAAAACATTGGCTCTAGAGACAGTTTAACACGTAAGACTTTCAAATGTTCTCATGCCAAAGACCCCCTCTGCACTGAAAATTGTGTGTACAAGAAGAGTTTAACACAAGAGCAGCCGTGCTAGCTAGATCAGCGCAAATGTCCATGTAGCCTAGTGTCCTCTTGCCAGGAGTGGTCAGCAGCAGATGCCTGAGAAGGAGGACAGGTTAGACACTTTGCCAGGCTTCAGTCAGTTGCCAGTTCTGAACTTTCTGAGCTAGAAGTAGTTCCTTTGTGTTTAGTAGCCCTCAATGGATTGCTTCTTCAGAGCATATAAGATTCCTTTTTGAAATCTTACAGACTTTTTTTTAAGCACCCTCAACATCCATAGTCAAGAATTTTCAGAATTTAGTTAGGAGTTGTGTAAAGGAAAACCTCCTTTTGTTTTTAACCTCCCCCTTCCCTCCCACTCCCATACTGGAAGAGACACTGAGTGGTTGTTCCCCGTTCATTTCCTTCACAAGCTGCTCATGATTTTCTATACCCTTCTTGTGTCCACCTTCAATAATCTCCTTTACAGGTTGAAAACTGACTAGGAGGTTTGAAGACTGGCAAAAGCATTGAGAAGCTTTGAAAGTCAGTCCCTGCCAGGTGTGTCAGGACATTCTTGCAGAATTTTTTAGATACAGGTTAGTGGAATTTTACTGGACTGTATTTAGTAAGTATTGTCACAAGACTTCACTGCAAGAGCTGAACTGGAAGAAGGACTTGAGGGAGCAAATACTTTGTATACTGGAAGAGGAGAAAATAATTTGATGATGTAAATGGCAGAGAAGAAAGTTAAAAAATTGGAAGGGAGAGAAAGCTCCAGGAGATAATTTACAGTTAGTAGTACCAGGCTTGCATAGAATTGCTGGAGAGCAGAGAGGTCTAGCTGATGCTGTGGAAAGCCTTAAAGGATGATAATAAGCAGAGAGGAATATGGGAAGCAATTAAAGAAGAAAGGGTTGCATTTATGTCAAAACGCTCTCCCCTACATACTGCCAAAGATCAGAGATCTTGTGTCTCTGCTGTTCGGTGATTAACAGCAAGGAACACTGGATCAACTAGTCTTGTGCCTAAGTTACTTTTTTTGTGTTCTTATGTGGGTGTATATGTTCTCATAAGAATTTGCTGCTGTGCTTTAAGTAGACCTTTCTTCTCCCCCATGCTGCATGGCACGCCATGCCAACGGTTACAGCAGTGGTATTCTCCTGTGTCTTGACAGCCAAGACTTGGAAGCAACTGTGTAAACCATCTGAGGTTTCTCTTTAGAAATTAATATCCTCTTGTTTTCCATTTTCCTACTAATCTTTGACTTTGTTTTTTCCCTTTATCTCTTTCTTCATCTTAGCTAATGGATTTTTTTGGGATCTCTTTTAATTCCTTGGACTTTTCAGAGGGTTGGTAAATTAATCCACCCTTGAAATGGCTCTGATGAGGAAGAGGAAGCAACGCATTTCTCTTTCCTCAGAACTATAAACTGACTAATCTGAAGAATGAGGCACAAGACTTTAGGTCACTGAAGGGTCTGTCTCGGTATTTGCTTTAAGTACCTCCTCTTTCCTTCCCTTGCCTCTCACATTCTCTACCAAAGGAGTTTGGACAGGCGCAATTGTATGATAAAAGTTGTTCCCCAGCCAGTTATTGCTTGAGCTTCCCAAAGGAATGGGTATTCAAGCTGTGTAGGTAATGTGGAATAAAGTTGAGGAAGGGTTTTTCTTAAGTATTTCTCAATCCTAATTAGTGGCTATGGTAAAGTGGTCATTTCAAAGAGTGCTTGGTCATTACAACTCTGCTGGGATTGAGGGATGAGCCAGATTGTACTCCATTTCCTGGTTTACTCTTTCATATAGTGATTCATGGTGAAATTGGGTATTTTATTAAATAAAAATACACATTGCAGCCCTGTCTCCTTGAGTTGGCACATCCTTGTCTACTCCCATCATCCCTGTTCAATAGGATTTACAGCTATCCTTCTTTCCAGGCCCTCCTGTGTGGGTCAATGACTCTGACACTGCTGTGTGAATGTCACTGTACAACATTTTGAGTAATTTCCCCATGAAGAGTAGCCAGTAATATGCCAGTTACTTTGGGTTCCCTCCTTTTAACTCTAGGTTGGCATTCTTAGAAAAGACACAGGACTTGTTGTCCAGGTACTTTGCATTCCTTCACTGGGAACGTTCCCTCTCTGAAGAGTCAATGAATTGGCAAATGGAAGAAATCAGAGAAGTATCAGGCATTGGCTAGACTAGTCCATTATCGCTATTTCTCTGCTGTACCAGCTCTATCTAGTGAATAGTGCAGGCTGTGAGATGACTTACACATAGCCTTAGAACTTCACAAAGAACCAAAATGTCTCCTAATCCACAAAACACTGTGTAGCTGACTGTATGCTTTTGAAGCAAGGAGATGCTAATTCTTCTTCCTTTCTGGAGGTTTTGGTAGTAATAAAAGTACATTTGGAGCAAGGGCTCCAAAGAAGTCATATTGTCAAGCAGCTTTGTCAAGAACGAGGGAGAGCTGGCAGAATGAACATTGTGTGCTGGAGATGGAGAATGCAGGAGCCACGGGGAGACAGGAATCATGATGGAAAAGGTGGCCCAAGAATTAAGGTACCCGGCAGGATGCTGAGTATTGGCATGCCATTGAAGTCACTACTCTGATGGGCTTGTCTGGGTCATTGTCTCTAAAGAGTGTTAGTTCTCAAGTGTGTCTGGGTGGCATATCCATAGGGGGATGTGAAATGCCTGTGTGAAAACAGTTTTTGTCTTTGTTAGAGATATGAAACTAACCTTTTCCTCTCCTTGCCTCTTTTCCAGTCTCTGTCTGCTGCTGTCTCTTCATACTGTTTCTCTTCCTGTCTGAGCTCACCGGATTCATAGCTACTGAAATGTAAGTAAAAGTGTTTTCATTTGTTTGAATGTATGTACGTATATGATTCTTTACAGCTTTACTTTGTTATCTTGGAAAAATATGCCTGTAATTTCACTAGGTCAGTTAGTGGTTATTGGATTCCTTTTGGTTGAGTCCGTAATTCAGCTTTTTAATTTACTAAAGTATGCTAGGCAAACTTGGTGCTAAAATACTTCCGATAGAGAAAACTGTTCCAGACGTGCTTGATCCTTTATTAGCTGCATACTGGATTTCTCTGTTGAGCACAGTGGATATTTTTCATGTGACCACAGATCACATCAAAATCTTCTGACCCTTTTCAGTTCTCAGGTGATCAGGTGTAAGGTAGTGTGAATGTTAAGATGATCAATGCCAGTCAGTTGCAGTTTCCCTCTTCCTCCTTAGACTGTTGATTTCTTGTCCTCATCTGAGAGTTGTTTCCCCTCTCCTCCTGAGTAGGCACTTTTCCTCTGTACTTGTTTGATTCAAAGTGATTCTCAAAAACTAGTGTATTTTTCATCAGTGATACTGTATGTTTAAATGTGTGGTGCCTACTGGTTGAATTCACATGGTCTGTGCTCCAAGACTGTGGGGTCCCATTGCAGATATGGTGGGATCTCTGACAAGACATTTTCTTTTCCCCTCACTTCCCTGTGGATAAAATGGGTATCACATTCTGCCAGTCTTCATTGGACATTTTTGGAGATGCTTTTTGGAAAAATGAATTGCATAAAATATGAATTATGGTTTAATGTTAATAATACCTTTTTTTTAATGTCAGAGCTGAATCTCTGATACATGCAGATAGCTTTACTTACGGGTGAGTTTTATCTTCTTGCTTTTTAGCTGTCAAGCCTTACTTGGAAACTTAGTTGACAGATTTTGTGCCTGAAGGCAGGTTGTCCAAGGTGTCCTCTTTGGGACCTTGCTTTGAGCAAAATGGAAATAATTTCCACTTTAAAAAATTGCTCATAGAACAAGTATTTTAGTTTTATCAGAAATTTTTTTCCTGTTCTCATGCTCCTCCTGCCTTGAAGTAAACTTTTCTTAGTAACTATTAACACAGGTACCTTTGTTTTGGGTTCTAAGAAACATTCTCCATCATCCTGCTGATGTGGCAGTGAGCTCACTAGACTGTGATGCACAGTTCCTGGATAGTTAGGAAGGGTGGAACTTCTGTTAGACTTATGTGATGGTCCAGATAGCAACGGATGTCACTGCTGAGCGAAAAAGCTCTGAAATGCGTTGGGCTCATGAGCCTTATTTTGATTGACCATGCTTTACGTGGCTTCTGATAACCATATGGCTTTTTCATTGTTTTTTTGCAACTCTGACTTGGGTCAAGAATATGATTTCAAGAACAATTTTAACCTTGAGTAATATTTAACCTTAAGACAGTAGTGTAATCTAGCTCTAGCTAATTTTTTATGCCTATTGCACATTTACTTCAGAGATGGTATCTTAGGTTTTTTACTTGCTGTTTCTTTGAATTCAGTTCTATGCATTTGCTTGTAAAATACTGCGTCATCTTATCAACCCACTTCTCTCAGGAGCTGAGTTTTCTTGGTTTTCTTGTTTTAAAAAATAGAGAGAAGCTAGACAAATGGCTTCAAGTAAAACAGTACTTTTTCTTGCTCTCCTCTTAGCTGTCATTCTCTCATCTGGTTTTCTTTTTACTTTTAGTTAGTGCTTTACCACAGGAAATATAATAGTTACCTAATTTTGGTCCAATTATTTGAGTGTGCATGCCTTTATGTAGTGGTAGTTTCCTGAGTAGAGATTTCTTTTTGAACAGCAAAATTATATGATTCTCTGAGGCCTCTTCATACTTTTTTCTTAACAGGATGATGCATTTTCCGCAAAGATATTAGAGGTGCTATAAGTTCTTACATGCTCAGCTGACAAGTTTCTCATTAAAACGTCAGAAACGGTAAACTGCCTTTCCCAGCAGGAACTGTGTGGGGAGGAGGTGTTTGTAAGCAATAAAGCAGTAAAATTTTAGAAAGGATGTCATGGAAGAGACTCAGACAAATGAATGCAGGAAACTGATTCGTCATGGACTGTCCGACACAATAGCTCACAGAATATGAAAACCTCCTTCTGAAGAGTTGTAGGTCATCAAAATCTCTCTTGCTGGGAACAGGTCACCCACAGCACTTGTGAACAGGCTCCCCCTGTAAGAGCGGAAATACTTCAGGAAGTCACATAACAAAGTGCTTCCCAGTTCAGCAACTTCTAAAGTAGAAGTAAACTTTTCTTTTTCCATTTCTTACTCATTGCTTTTTCTTCTGGGAAACTCAGTACCTTAAAGGTGTTCAAAGATATTGTGAACCTCTTGTGCTTCCCTTTCAAGTATGTATTACTGGCAGTGGGTTGCGAGGCAGTATAGTCTCATCATTCAGAATAAGGGTGCAAAAGTGTGGAGCTCTATGTGGTCTGGAACAAACAATGTGAGGACTCTTTGACACCATTTAAACTGGGTGGTAGCAAATAACAGAGGAGATAGTCTCTCACAAAGATATTTTGAGCCTTGTTTGCCCATGAATCAAATACTTTTGAAGATTGGGAAGGTTCCTTATGTGCAAACTGTTCAATTCCCATCAACTTTTATTGCGAGCTTTGAGTTTCTTTTGTATTAAGAGTCTCCTACAACAGATGTCTCTCCCAGCTTGAAGTTTCCTAGTGTCAGCCAGGATCTGCATGATTAACTAGAGTGTATACTTACATGGGGTGAACTTTCCTGCTTTGCCAGTGCCAGCTGTACTATGGGAGTGCATCAGTCTTTCTCCTCTTCTGTTGTATTTCCCTTACAGCAGTCATGCACTTGACAAAGCCGGATTGCATGGGGATAGCTGCACATTTTTGATGGCAAGGTGAAATCGAGAGCACTTGGTCTGATGCCTTACATCAGAGACGTACTAGGTTCACTGATGTGGACTCATGCTTACCTCATAGCCCCATTATGCCAAGTAATTGTGCATGGTGTGTGTGCATTGACAGCCTGCGTCAGGGCAAGTCAGCAGCAACCTCAGCAGCAGTGGTACCCACAGGATTAACTGTCTAACTCTCACCAACGGGAGGTTTCTTTGGTATCTTCATCTGAAGTGAGTGGTCGGTGTGGTTTTTTGAACTCATGCTGCAACAGGAAAAAATAAGGTCTGCTCTGCACCACTCTAACCCCTAATACTTGCTAGCTTCTACCTGCTGTTGGACTTTCTTCTACATTGGTTTGACTGTAGCAACTTAAATTCCTGGTATTACTAGAAATCTCGGTTTGGTCACTCTTGCCCAACTTCAAAGCTGTTTTTCCTTGACCAGCCCGTTGTCTTAGCATTTATAGTCTCATCTGCTAAAGACCTGTCTGGGTGGCAGAAAGCCAAGAAATTACACCCTCTTCTTGAGGATAACAGTCATAACACTAAAACCAAACAGATTACCTATGTGGGGAAGACAGCGTGCATCACACTAGCTATGTCATAACTCGTGTGGGCATTTCTAATGAGTGCTAGGATTGCGTCTATTCACAGGAGCTTACTTCAGTTAGGCAGCCGAACTAAGACGCTGTGCTTGTTACAGCAGACATGCAGGAAGTTCATGTGGCATAGGTAACGCACTGTAAGTGCACATCCTATTTTGCTGCTGACTAGCTTCCTGTGTAGACGAGCCCTGAGTAGGGTAGAAAACTCCTAGTTGCTCCTCTTCTAGATTTTTTTGCGTGACCCTAACAGGCAGTCCTCTGAGCAGCCATGAAGGAAATCAAAGCTTGGTTCTTAGGTGGGGCTACCTCCTTTTCAGGAGAAGCACAGCGAAGGGCTGGTGAGGGAAGAGGTTATTCTTTCTTCGCTCAGCCACAGCCCATCATTGTAGTTAAGGGGAGGGCAAGTTTAACTCTGGAAATCAAGAATCTTCTTGATTTATTTTTAATTTTTTATTTCCTGTCCAGACTGAGAGTGACTGAAGACTTAGTCCAAAACAAGAACCTAGATTAACCTGATTAACCTTCTCAATTCTGTAAAAGACAGTTAAAGAAAAGGAGGTCCATGCTCCACATTTGAACCTCTGATAAATTGACAGTGTCAAACATGGTTGTCCTACTGAACAAATGACTCAAGTGGCTGAAGAATTGAAGCTGAAGTGTTAAATAAGTCTGGTATTTCCTGGGCAGGATTGGTGGTAGATTGAGAGTTGAGAGTAGATTGAAGGCTAGAAATTGCTTGGCATACCTTTAGCAGCCTTCCTCATTCACCGTGCTGTTATGTTGCAAATCAAGAACGTAGAAATCGCCTATCTCTTTTCTAATTAACTCAGATCAGCGCTAGAAGTTAATAGCTGGCAAGATGATAATATTGCAGTTTTATCACTGTAATTAGGTCATGAATTATGTTCTGCAGGATCAATAAGAGTTTTCCAAGTATTCCATCATTAAGGAGGAAAGATGTAATTAACTCATCTAGTCTGCCTTACATTGGCAGCCAGGGGAAGGGGTAGGAAGGTATGAATGTGATACTTATGGTATGAATGTAGCTGCTCAACAATAATTCATCTGCCACAGCACACTGTAGAAAGCAACAGACCATTCCTGGCAGTGTTTTCTTTTTATTTCTTTATTTTTTAATGTAATAACAGGCAAAGAACAGTTTGAAGTGACAAGTTTGCCATTTGGAAGGCTGTGCCTTCCTGCAAGGCAATTAATTACTTAAGCTGAATATCTGTAATAAAAATTCTGGCTTTGCATAAAAGCATGAATCATGAGCAATGTCCAAATAATTTGTTCATTTAAGGTGACTGGATCATTCACTGGGGACACCTGCTTGCTTTAATCTTCATGAAAAATACCTTGGCCAGTCTATGAATATCACACAGCCCAGCTCCTATGCTGGGGCCACATCACGTGCAGCACAACTTGACTGTTTGTGCAGGCTGTCAGGTACCCCAAATGTGGAAGGATGAAAAACGCTAGGAGCTTCTGAGACCAACATCGATTGTTCACACTGGATTCG